CACTGTACTGCAGCCTGGGCGATAAGAGCAAAACTGTCTCAAACAAACAAACAACAAATACTGAAAAGAATGCAGGCTTTAGAGACATGCCAATGTTCAACAAACTGCTAATCTCTCTGGCCTCAGTTTTGTCCATCTGTAAAATGGCACTGCAGTTAGCACTGCTGTGCTACTGTTAGCATTGTTGTGAGGAATACATGATGGGAAAAATAAAACAGCGAGCACAAGTAGGTGTCCAACAAATACTGAATCTCTTTCCTTTACCTGTATATCCAATTCATGTTCCTCTTTTGCTTCTTTCTAACGATGTCATATTGACTCATTCAGCCTACATTTACTGCTCGCCTACTAGGTGGAAGGCAACGGGGGCACAACACTGAAGAGACCAATCCGGTTCCTCCTAGCAGGAGCAGCAGTCCCACGAAGCATCACGGAGAAGGTGGTGATTTCAGGTGCATGTGTTAACGAGGGATCATGCACAAGCTGTGTGAACCCACAGCATGGGTGCCTCACCCAACTGCTGGGACAGATCTGGGGGACTGCCACTCTACAGGTAGTGTTCTTGGGTCCTAAGCCTAGCGTGGGGCCACATTCACCAGCTGGGTGACTCTGGACAAGTTACTTTAGCTATCTGTGCCTCAAAGCAAACAGTAAGCTAAGAGGTTGCTTCCAGAGCAGGATGCTGTTTAAAATGACTACAGCTTTTATATCAAATGGGGAAAATACAAATAACCCACAATAATACAAAATCTGGTAAGTTAAAAACTATAGGATAAGAAGGCAGTGCTGTGAGGCATGGTTAACAACTGCAGGTAAGGCAGCAAACAAGAAAAAAATAGTCGAGGATTCAAAGATAAAGTTCTTATAGACCATTACTACAAGTGGAGAATAGGTTGGTTTAGGAGAACTTTTTTCTCCTCACTAAGAAAAGTAAAACTCCATGCTGACATTACAAATACATGGGGTCAGATCTTTAAGACAGGGATAAGAATGCAACCAAAATTCAGAGTATCTTTCAGGTAAAACCTAACAGTAGAGAGATGTAAAACAAACAGTTGTAATATTACCAGGATTTTGCTGGAAGCCTCAAATTTAGAGACAGTCCTGAGGATAATTGTTAGAATCAGAGGATGAAGAAAGATGGATGTAGAAAAGGGGTGTGACTAGAGTGGGAGACCCAGGTGACACTCTCTGCCAATAATACACTGAAGGTTCACACCTTCACACAGTCTGTCTACTTTGGGAAACCAATTAACTTTCCCACCCACTGAGTCAGAAACACAGTAATAGTTCTTAAATTCAGTACCTTAAAAAAGGAAGGAAATTCTGATATACAGTACAACATGGATGAAGTTGGAGGACATTAAGCCAGTCATAAAAAGGCAAAAACTGAAGGATTCCACTGACAAGCAACCCCTGGAGTAGTCAAACCATCATAGAGACAGTGGAATGGATGTTGCCAGGGGCTGGGGAGAAGAGGAATGGGGTGTGACAGAGTAATGGGGAGTTTCAGTTTTGCAAGATGAGAAAGTTCTAGAGACTGGGTGGCACAATAATATGTGTATGAATGTATTACTGAAATTAACATGGTTAAGATGGTAAATTTTTTGTTATATATATTTTACCACAATTAAAAATAAAGGCCTGGCACGATGGCTCATGCCTGTAATCCCCCTAGCACTTTGATTTTTTTTTTTTTTTTTTTTTTTTTTAGACGGAGTCTTACTCTGTTGCCCAGGATGGAGTGCAGTGGCACTATCTTGGCTCACTGCAACCACCACCCCCCGGGTTCATATAATTCTCCTGCCCCAGCCTCCCAAGTGTAGCTAAGACTAAAGGTGCACACCACTGCACCTAGCTAATTTTTTTTTGTTTGTTTGTTTGAGACAGAATCTTGTTCTGTTGCCAGGCTGGAGTGCTATGGCGTGATCTCAGCTCACTGCAACCTCCAACTCCCTGGTACAAGCAATTCTCCTGTCTCAGCCTCTCGAGTAGCTGGGATTACAGGCACATGCCATCACACCCAGTTAATTTTTGTATTTTTTAGTAGAGACAGGGTTTCACTATGTTGGCCAGGATGGTCTCGATCTTCTGACCTCAGGTGATCTGCCCACTTCGGCCTCCCAAAGTGCTAGAATTACAGGCATGACCCATCGTGCCCAGCCATCTCCAGAACTTTGCGAGGCTGAGGCTGGCAGATGGCTTGAGCTCAAGAGTTTGAGACCAGCCTGGGAGACATGGCAAAACCCAATCTCTACAAAAAAAAAAAAAAAAAATAGCTGGGTGTGGTGGCATGCACTCATAGTCCTAGCTACTCAGGAGGCTGAGATGGGAGGATCACGTAAGCCCTGGAATGTGGAGGTTGCAATGAGCCCAGATCGCACCACTGCATCCAGCCTGGGGGACAGAGCAAGACCTTCTCTCAAAAAAATAAATTAAAATATAAAATAAACAAAAATTTCTGTCTGCTTACCATAGTTTCTTTCCCAAGAAACTATGATTTAACTTTTGTGTAGTGCATTTTAAAATAAGTATCTCACCACCAACTTGCAGCCTAAGAGATTTTTAAAGGAATATACAGCCAGGCATGGTGGCTTATGCCTTCATAATCCCAGTACTTTGGGAGGCTGGATCACCTGAGGTCAGGCCAACATGGTGAAACCCTGTTTCTACTAAAAATACAAAAATTAGCAGAGCATGGTGGCACGCACCTGAAGTCCCAGCTACTCGGGAGGCTGAGGCAGGAAAATCACTTGAATCTGGGAGGCAGAGGTTGCAGTGAGCCAAGATCGCACCACTGCACTCCAGCTCAGGCAACAGAGCAAGACTCCATCTCCAAAAAAAAAAAAAAAAAAAAAAAATTTACCACCAGGCATGGTGGCTTACACCAATAATCCCAGTACTTCAGGAGGCCGAGTTCGGTAGAGATCACCTGAGGTCAGGTTTTCAAAACCAGCCTGACCACCATGGTGAAACGCTGTCTCTACTAAAAATGCAAAAAATTAGCTGGGCAGTACACACCTGTAATCCTAGCTTCTCAGGAGGCTGAGGCAGGAGAATCACTTGAACCTGGGAAGCAGAGGTTGCAGTGAGCCGAGATTGCACCACTGCACTCTAGCCTGGGTGACAGAGCAAGACTCTGTCTCAAAAAAAAAAAAAAAAAGTACACACACTACTGAGGACCAAAAAGAGTTAAATTAGCATGCAGCTAGCAGAAATGGTATTCAACATACAGGCAGGGGTGCCTTCCAGCAAACTGCCAATATGAATATTTAGACTATTCTAATTTAAATTCCTTCCATGCAAAAACTACCCAGTTTCCCCACTAAAAATAAGTCTATTAAAGAGATTTATTGCCACATTCTGAATGTTTAGGGAAGACTTGACAGTCCTATTCTCAGTCGTAGAGACAGCTCACCTAACTACACAAGTTCAGAGAGGATGCTGCTTGGGCTTTCGCTCACTACTTTGTGACCCTGAGCAAACAATGACCTGTTCCAGCCTCAGTTTCCTCACTTATGTAATGAGGATGTCACCCAGCCTTTCTCAACTATTTTATGAAAGGAAGGTATTGGCCAGGTACGGTGGCTCACGCCTGTAATCCAGCACTTTGGGAGGCTGAGGCAGGTGGATCACTTGAAGTCAGGAGTTCGAGATCAGCCTCAACAATATGGTGAAACTCCACCTCTACTGAAAAAATACAAAATTAGCCAGGTGTGGTGGCACATGTCTGTAATCCCAGCTACCTGGGAAGCTGTGGGAGGTGGAGGCTGCAGTGAGCTGAGATCATGCCACTGCACTCCTGCCTGGGCAATAAGACCGAAACTCTGTCTCAAAAAAAAAAGGAAGGTATTCTACCACCTTATTTTACATAAAGAGAATCAACAAATTTAATAAACCCTGGAACTCAAAGACACAGTTTGCATTTCAAGGTAGTAACAGAACCTAAGTGATAAAATTTTATCCTAAGAATTTGGTTTAGAAAAATAAAGTTAACGTCTACTTTCAACAAAAGCTGAAAACTAGAAAACAACCATTTTAAGCAACCTCTTCTAAAACCTCACAGTGACAACATCTGATATAGCTCGTGTTTCCCAGCAGCTTCTTTCTGGCACTCCACTGCTGTTTCGGAAGGATCCCAGGGACTGAATGCAGAGCTCCACAAGGAAGAACCATTTTCTACCACTAGCCTCCTTGAGACAAGCGGCATGGTCCTTCACTCCCCTAGGCACAGCCTGGGAGTTCCCTCTTCCTCCAAACAAGCCAAATCATCTTGCTCACCCCTCCTCCCAAGGGGGCAGGCTCCTCTACCCTGGGAAAAGAGCTGCCACTCCCGTGCCTGCCAGCTGCAACCAATGTCAGCTTGCACAGCTGGGCCACCACACCCCTTCTGTGTCCAAAATAGAGGTTTGGTGGCTCGGAAGTTAATTCTCTCTCACTTTACACTTGGTTGCTAAAATCTATTTGTTTGCTAGCCCTTTGTAATGCTCCAATTTTTCTCTACATTGAAATATTCTCCCTCGGTCTCACAGCTGGAAAGGACCTCTAGCCTTAAATGCCATGCACAATTCCAACTCCTTTTCTACGTGTATTGATGGCAAGAGGGCTACGCGTGCCCAGGAAAGGTTCTTTCTGAGTAAAACAGAAACTCTGTGGGTGGAGGGCCTAGAGGGAAGACCACCCTGAATCTGTCCCTCTGGCTTTCTGCCCGCCTATTTCAAACCTCACTGAGGCTGGAGGAAGAAAATTGACTACTGGCCTGTTCCTAAGTCTCAGGCCTAGAAGAAACTACACTGAACGCTTGGATACCTATCCAAAGGTGCAGTGGAAAAACCCTCAGGGGAGAGCACAGAATGCAGACCCAAAGGACAGACATGCAGAGACGGTCACACACACATCAGCTCCTGCTGCTGGCTGCTGGGTGGGAGAGGCAGGCAGGCAGCAACGCATAATGGGGGATCTGCAGCCAGGACTCCACACGCCATCCACCCGCCTCTTACCCACGATGAGTCCCCTCTCCTGCGGCCCCAGTGTCCTGGTAAGCCCTGGGCAGCAACATCAAAGCCTCGGCAGGTCACAGCTCTCCGCGTCAGAGGCCATGGTAGCTCTGTGCAGCGATCCCACAGTCCCAGGCTGCCGGGAGCTCCCACAGCTGTAGGTGCAGGGAGAGCTGGAGCAAGGACAGCATGTGTGCGCCAGCACAGCAGGGCCAGAGAAGAAGGTGTCCAGAGAAAACAAAAGCTGAGAGTACCGGCCCTGCAGGTACAAACACGCTGGGCCCAGTGGGGAAGGCTGGTGTGGACCGCAGAGATGGACGCGCAGAGCTGCAGCCCTAGCTGACGCTCAGAGTGTGTGCTGCTCCGCTCCTCCAGGCTCATTTCCATGAATGCAGTCACAGCCAGCCCCTCCTACTACCCCCCATTCCCGGCCTCCAGGGGGGGGGGGGGGCGGGGGGGAGGGGAGGCACCACCAGCATTTGTGCACAGGCTGCACTTGCTTTCCTCTTTCCCTTAGAAGCAAAAGCCCGATGCCTGCTTTCACTGCAAGAATGCCAGCCTTACTTAAGATGCCCTCTCTTTACTGCATGGATAAACAAGAGACTAGATCTAGGAGGCAGATGTTCTGTCACCCCGAAGGCACAAGCCTAGTCCTTCCCACTGCCCTGCATCAGGTCAGCAGGCAAAGTGACACTGACCAGACTGCTCCAACACTGTCCTGGGGGGCTTCAGGAGGAATGTCCTTTGCATCCTTCCTCCAGGGGTCCCATGCCCTCCATTTCCACGAGGGACATTCCAGCGTTTTTACCAAGAAGGACTCACCTCCTACTCAGTACACTTTCAGCCACCCATGGTTCTTGTTTTACCAGAAGCTGCGGCATTGCCTTCAAGGACACTTGCGTAGTAACAGGTTGGGATGTTAGGCAAGTGAACCTTGGGGATGATAATACAAGATGGCTGGTGATGAGAAATACGGCTACAGCCTGAGGATAGTAGCTCTCACACTTCAGAGGGCACAAGAATCACAAAGGGCACTTGTTAAACAGGTAGATTTGGGACCCCAGTCCCAAAAGCATGAACTCCAGAGACCCAGGCCCCATGTTATATGGAATACAAGGTTACTGCAGACCACACACAGCTTCTGACTAAAAAGGATGGAGACAGAGGTTTTTTAAACAATTCTAAAATAACCAAGGAGAGACAGTAGAGGGTGAATCATTGTGCTAGAGCAGGGTCCTTCTCTGGTCATTACTGGCAGAGGACGCAGGTCACTCTGTGGTGGGGTCGTCCCTGTGTATTGCAGGGTGCTTAGCTATGTCCCTGGGCTCTACCCTCTAGATGCCAGCAGCACTGCCATCACCATCCCACTTCTCCCCAACGAGGTGTGGCAACCAAAACTGTCTCCGGGCATTGCTGAATGTCCCCTGGGGGGCAAAACCGCCCTGGTTAAGAACCATTGCTCTAGATAAACAATGGAAGAAGGGATGGGAATACTAAAAACACTCCCATATCCTCCCTCCTTCCCAGTCTCCTGCCTTTAGGAAATCAGTAATGGGGAAAAAAAAAAAAAAAAAAAAAACGGAAATCAGTAATGGAAGACACCCACCCCTCTGCAAGCCCAGCCTCTACTGCCACGCCATGGGGGTTGGGCTGGCTGGGGAATGCAAACTGACGTCCTCATCACCAGGCAGTGCCACCAGGCCTGACCCAAATACCCTGGCTCTGCGTTGCAGCCTGTCTTTTCAGAAACAGCCATAGTGTGAACAACTTTAGTGTCAAGAGAGTAGTACTCACTTAAAAGAATCAGACCAACTCTATGTAAAACAAATTCTAAAATTCTACATTCTACAAAACATAGATTGAGATTGAGTCCCCGTGCAGCACACCCCTTGGCCTCGTCTTCCTCCTGCTCACTGTCTAGCAAGCCATCCCACCTCTCCTCCCAGTCCAGGGAAGATTCCACTTTCCCTGGATCCACCAGGGTACTCAGTTACAACGTCTCTGCTTCTTTCTTCTTGTTCAGAAGCTCATCCTCACCATCCATTGAGTCTTACCTCCTACAGGGAGAACTCCCTGATGGCTCCAGCCATGCTCCCTGCTCAGTTTATGCGCATTAACCATCACCTGATGACCTTCTCTATCACTTGGTAAATAACCAGGTGATAAATTACATGATACAAACACATTCAGAGAAGACAGCCTGGACTATCCACACTGGTTATCTACCACTGTGTTTCCCAGGGATTTCACGTATACGTGAAATTAAGCTCTTGCTTTTCAGTAATATCTTGTACTAGAAATATTCTCATAGCACTTTGCTTAGTCCCAAGGGCTGTCTTATTCTGAGATGACATCACTGGTCTTTACACAAATACACATACACACACACACACTCTCTTCAGGAACTGAAAGAGCCCAGAAGGTGAGTCCTGACCTATCCCTCTCTACGTAAGACTCAGTCACCATGTGCGAAGCTCACTATGCCTCTACCTTTAACATGGCCAGCTTCCACTAAGCTGACAGAGTGGATCACAGCTGGGGTTTACTTGCAGTGTGTCAACCTAGGCAAAGGCTTTAGCTTGACCCAGCCCAGAGACCGCAGGTAGCAAAAACCTGCACTTTCAGTCAGTCAGTCCTAGGCACAGACAACATAAGACAAGGACATCAGCAGACAGGAAGTTAGAAAACAAGCTGCAACCAACAGGCCTGCAGTGTGGCCCTCCTCATATCTGAAGAAAACAGATGCCACAATACATACTGCACAATCAAGCTTATGAAATCACAGCCATCAGAGAAAATCACAGGAAATGACTGGACATGGAACAGGAATCTCAGGAATCCCAACAGAGAAAATGAACGTTTAAAAAAATAATTTCTCAATCTCATAATTCAACAACCTTTTTAAAAGTTCACTGCATGGAAACAAGGCCCCTGTCAGTTACTGTGGAAGACACAACGCTGAAAAGACATGGTTTCGGCCCTCAAAGAGCTCATGTGTTACTATTCCTTTTAAAGAAAAAAGCAACAGGCAGCTGGCCATGTTAAATGTAGAGGCATAGTAAGGGCCAAATAATGCTCTCTTTAAGGTGTGATGCGGAGTGGGGGTCAGAGAAGAGCAGGGCCACGTTTGTCCAAGAGGGCTCCACACAAGAGCAGAGACTGGCATTCAGCCCCAGGCGCACCAGGGAGAGGACAGTCCAGGCAGAGGTGGAAAATGACAGAGTCTGGAAGAGCAAGCTCCAGGCAGACTGTGGGGCCTTTGAATTGGACAGCGAGACAGTTGGATTCTATTTTGTTGCCCAGTTGGGCGAGAGACAAAGAAAGAAGCTCTTGTGGAAGAGCCAGGAGCGGCAGCCAGGCGCCATGAGAAGCAAAGGGCCTGGAAGCTTTGCAGTAGTCTTCACTGCACTGTCATCTGTACTTCAGCTCAGAAGCAGTAGCAAAGAAATAAGTGTTTTCTTGCCCCACTCCAGCTCACGGCTTCAACTACCATCCTTATCCAACACTAATTCCCCAAACCGCTACTGAATTTCCATCCTCTTTCCAGTTTTCTGTCTCAGGCGCAAGGAGCGCTAGCGGGAACCAGAAAGTGACCCTCTGACAAGCCTGCGAAGGAAATCTGCATCGATCATCTTCTCTCTAAAGTGGAAAATGAGGCGCGAGGAATACATTCAAACCTTGCAATTCATCAGCACCCTAAACCCACTCATTCACAATGCTGCTGAAAGGTCCTCTCTGCCCACGAGGCGTCCCCGAGCCTCAAATCACCTGGGCCACAGACTCCAAGCACCACAGACATGATAAGCATTCTTAGGCAAGTCATGACTCTCAATCTCCCCTCCTTCTGTGTCCCAGGAACACAGAGGCCTGGGATTTTTTGGTTTTCTTTAAACTCTATTCTACTCCTAATACTTAAAAATGCCTCATTATTCTTTAGTAAACACTAAGAGTATAAAATGCTTCTTCAAAGAAGCAGAAACTGGCATCTGTTCCTGCTGAGAAGGGCCTGAAGATCTCTTGAGAGGGAGGTCATTTCTACCTTCACCTCAAAATAGAAACAAACTGGCTGCCCGTTCCAGACAGCACCCTTACCAGAGTTGCCCTGAGTCCAGGTTTGTAAAAGTTGGGGAGAAGTTTAAGAAGAAGCTGACTAGGGCACTAGCCTTTCGAGTCGTGGGCAGGCCTGGGGTACTGGCCCCCTGCCTCCACCTACCAGCAGGGCAAGGCTGGAGCAGGTGTGGCCAGCCAAAACCTCCTGGCCAGCGCATCCTTCTGGTGCCAAGTGGATGTGCCAGGAGGACAGGCTTCTTCTCTGTCTTGGCTACTCTCATGAGGCTGCTCTCGGACTGCCCCTAACTCCAACCCATGCAGGGGGCAGAACTTGAGGAGGAAGAAAGAGGAGACCTGTGGCAGAGGCAGCCAAGGAGAGCAGTGAGGGGGAGCAGAAGGCAGGCCAAGCTCTGCACCTTTGAGATCCAGGTCAGCACATCTGCTCTAGAACTAGCTCAAGAGGCGCTGACCTATGAGAGGCCAGTGAGTCCCTGAGACCATGAAAGTGTCCTATGGCCTCCCTCCATGACAAACTAATGCCCACCTCTAGGTGGCATGATGTAGTTGGTTTCTCTGGACAAACTCTGTTCTACCCCAAACACTGGTAAATCCTCCCCAGCCTCTCAACTAGACAAGAAAAAACACGGAAAACAAAGGGGACCTAAGCAGAGGTAGAAAGACCCCAGCAGTAAAAGTTCTTGTACATACACCTCAGTGTTTAAAAATATCACTTACATTACCAACATGATGTTTACAGAAGTGTAACAAAAAAGGATGTTAAACTTAATATGGGAAAATATACATATGAGAATAGTTAGAAAAATATGAAGGGAAGAAAGGGTAATGTGAGGGTGTAGCTACCAGAGATTAAAGGATGTGAGGCTTTGGTAATTAAAACTGCAGCAGAGAAGAAAAAGGCCAGAAAACAAACTCAAGAAATACTGAAACACACAGGTAGCACTTTGAATTGATGAAGAAAAATTGGATTATTCAGTCAAGGGTGCTAGGTAAATAAACAGCCAGCTAGACATTAGGGATAAAACTAAGCTGAATGCCTACCCATACCAAAATGAATTCTAGCTTAATCAAAGATGTTAATCTAAAATAAAACCTGAGTAATTTTAGAATAGAGCATGAATTAATATGGTCATAATCTCGATGAGTCTGTTCATTTGTGACATGAAAATGAAAAGCTTCTGAATGAAAAATAATATCCCATAAGCCAAAATATCAACAACTAGGACAATAAATTCACAAAACATATGACAAAGGGTTAGCATCTTTTTAAAAGTTAATTCACTTATTATTTGTAGAGAGAGAGTCTCACTGTGTACCCAGGCTGGAGTGCGACGGTGTGATCATAGCTCACTGCAGCCTCAAACTCAAGCCTCAAGCGATACTCCCACCTCAGCCTCTGGAATAGCTGGGACTATAGGTGTGTGCCACCACAACTGGCTAGGGTTCATTTCTTTAAGCCACAAAGAAAGCAGCATAAAAATTAGTAAAACAAAGATGAATACAGTGAGCAAAGGATATAAAAGGCAGATTACGAAAAGAGAAATACAAACGGCCACACATAAAAGGATGCTCACACTCACTACGTGTTTAATGCAAATTAAAACATGAATAACATACCATTTTCCGTGAGTCTGGCAGGAATGGGAATGCCAGATGACAGGACATGCTGCCAGGGGAGCAGGGTACACAGGCAGGCTCCCATGATGCTGGGAGAGTGTACACTGGTGCAACCTTTGGCACTGCCAAAACTTCAAGAGCACCTATCTTTTGATTTGATTTGATTCAAACTTAAGAACTTGATTCTTAAATTCCATTTCAGAATGGATATGTTCCCCAAATTATAAAAATTTAAAACTACCTAAGCACTATTTGGTAATTTAAAAGAATGAGGTGATTTATAAATGCTAATATGAAAAGATCTCTAAGACACATCCGGTGAAACAGGATGGCACAGATTACCTTCTCGTAAGTAACACCTATGCTTGCTAAACACACAGGAAGCTTCTGAGAAGGCCGCACTTGAAACTGCTAGCAGGAATCACCTTTCAAAGCAAGGACTGTGGAAAGAGAGTCGCAGGGAGGCTTAGACTCTTCCTCTTCTGCCTATCTCTATATCTGGATCCACAACGAACACAAAATTTGATGTTGAAATTTTTATTCAAAGAAAAGACAGAAATGTCCACTTACATTGGCTCAGATTGGCCTAAGTATTTCTATTTTAGAAGAAACATCCTTGGATTCTGTTCTAATGCCCATGAAATACCTGTTGTAACTGTGCCCATTCTGCTGTGATTTCATATGTAGTCTCTCATCTGAATTCTGTGACTCAGAATCCTGACTCTTCACAGAAAATACAAAGGGAAAAAGACTTAAGACACCAGAAGGAAAAGACTTAAGACACCAAGTCACTGACTAAAAAAAAAGACTTAAGACACCAATAGTCACTGACTCAAAAAAAGAAATTCACTGCATCTTTTCTCAGGTCAGAAGTTGGGCTTCCATGATTCCTCTGTAAAGGAAGGAAGAAAGTGATACAAGCCAAGAAATTATTTTCTTAAGGAGAAATGAATGTGCTAGGGCAAGTCCTCGCACACCAACAGATCTACAGGACAGCAGAATTTGACTTTTCTGTCTCCATTTTTTCCCTCATGTATTACCTAGTCTGTAGAAACAAACAAATCACGTAGTCAGGAGAAAACCAAAAAGGTAACTGGGAACATATGAACGCATGAGATCATCATAACTCAACGGTGGCTGTTTCAACTTATATTCCTGGCTGATTTGGGCTCCGTTTTCAGAGTTCTTCCAAGGAGCCACAGTCATGGCTTTCATTCGCAGAACAGACCAGGGCTAGACTAGGTCAATTCTAAGGCACTTCATGGCTTTAAAAGTCTGTGATTACACTACTGTTAGTGACTCTGTCTGAGGTAATTACTATAAGAAGAAACCAATATGAAAGTTGAGGTTCTCCAGAAGGTAAAGAGGAGAAGATGGTGGCAATTTTAAGAGTCCTTTTCTCTGGTCTGACCTTGGGTTCAAAATTTAAAAGAGTCCTTTTCTAAAAGGGAAACCTCAGCTAGGCTGAAAAAGAAAAAAAAAGAAAGAAAGAAAGAAGGGCAGAGACAAGAACACTATAAATCCAGTAAAGCTGCCTTTGCAGGGTTATCAAAATGCAAGGGAAAAATGAGAGAATGACACTATTAAAAATTTCCAGAAGGTCTAGCCCTCCATCTTTGTTTTAACCAGCAGCAAACTGTATGCAGGTTCCATCCAGTGAACTGCAGCCACAAACCCATTCCAGTGAACCCTCCTTAATCACAGCGAGAGGTGGATGAAAACTGGAATCTATCCTGTTTCCTAGGGCCACTCCTGCTCCAACTCTGACTCCTATCTGGATCTATAGTCCCTGACTTTGTCCTCCCTTTGGCTGATGACGCTGCAGGCTGATAAAGGCTCTTAAGGCCCAGACCTGTGCCTACCAAGACCTACGATACCTGTCTTTTCTCTCCACTGGTACTAACTTCTCAGAAAATTCCACCTGCTGCCTTCCACATCCCTCCTATCTAATTGGACTTTGGGTCCTGTGCTTTCATATTTCATAATAAAGAGAAAACTTGGGAGGCCACAGAAAGACTCAGACAATGAATAAGGGTCAGCTCTCTTCAGAGGGGCAAAATCTAAGCCCTTGTTTCTATTCACCTTCATTAAGAAGAAAGGGCAGTTCTTTTTTTTTTTTTTGAGACGGAGTTTCACTCACGTTACCCAGGCTGGAGTGCAATGGCACGATCTCGGCTCACCGCAACCTCCGTCTCCTGGGTTCAGGCAATTCTCCTGCCTCAGCCTCCTGAGTAGCTGGGATTACAGGCACGCATCACCATGCCCAGCTAATTTTTTGTATTTTTAGTAGAGACGGGGTTTCACCATGTTGACCAGGATGGTCTCGATCTCTTGACCTCGTGATCCACCCGCCTCGGCCTCCCAAAGTGCTGGGATTACAGGCTTGAGCCACCGCGCCCGGCCAGAAAGGGCAGTTCTAATCCTCTGTATAATACCGTGAGCATTCACCTCTGGTATACGCAACAGGAAAGCCTATAAAATTCAAACCAGAGTGAGCCCTCTTCAAAACTTGTCACAGCAGATGGTGATACAGGTTTCTTGTTATGATGTGTGCTTTGTACAATGCCAAACATGCTCCTACTTAAAGATAAAGACATAACCATTTTTGATTCTGCAAAATATAGTATCAATCCATAAGGAAGTGAGTGAGAAATATCTAGGGGGATATGAATTGATAGTTGCAGCGCCTCAGGTCTTCCTGCAAACACCCCAACCTAAGCAATTTGTCCAACTAGAGGCTACCACAATCACAAGGCACGCATTAAAACATGGGGTAACATGGAAAGTTCACGTCAAGGACAGCATTTTAGATGCAATCTGAAAATCCAATGTCCCATTGGAGAAGCCTATACTTTATTCTATTTGGCATATTTTCCTACAAATAATACTAGTTTATATGCACATGGTATCTTAAAACATTTTTAAGATAAACATGTATCTTACAGCTTAAAACATTTTCTCATTTGCACTTTTTAAAACTTTCCAACAGTCCCCTCCCTCCCTTCTAAAAAAAATACTTTCCAACAAAGCTCATCTGTAACTCTGCATATTTCCTGACAATGAACTATACACAGTTCTCATCAGTTTGCAGGTAAGATGAAGACTCAATAAGTACAAATCATCTACCTCAGGTACGCTAGTAATAGAGCCCAATTCACACTCAGGTCACTGGCTGCATCCTCAGCTCTTTCTTTCCTCTTACTGAAATACCCAGATTCACTTCAGCTCAGCATTTACTGAGCATCTGCCATAGACGCAGCCTGTGCCTGGGGCTGGGATTTAAACAGCTCCAGTCCCTGCCCTGTACAGAATGCAAAGGCCAGTGGAGAGTAGCAGCAGCACGCCTGGCCACAGCGGCCAAGTGCAGCAAGTACTCACAGAATTCCAGGCAATGCCAAGAGGCTTCAGAGAGGGCAGCCTGGGTACCAGAACTTGAAGGACCAATGGATTCCCCAGATGGAAAAGCAGAAAGAACGGTGCATACCATGCAAGATAAAGTGTCTGGAAGTGACAGAGGCCAGCAACAATGGGCACGCCACAGGGCAGGGCCCAGGACACAGCACCCAGGAACGGGCTTAGTGTCTGCCTGTGAAGGGCGTCAGGGTCCACACCAAAGATTTTGTATTCCATCCCAAAGAGACGCCACAGAGAGAGTTCAAAGGCAAATTAAGGCCAGGAATGGTGGCTCACGCCTGTAATCCCAGCACTTTGAGAGGCTGAGGTGGGTGGATCACCTGAGGTTAGGAGTTTAGGACAAGCCTGGCCAACATGGTGAACACTGTCTCCACAGAAAATACATAAACAAGCCGGGCATGGTGGCTTGCACCTGCAGTCCCAGCTACTCACGAGGCTGAGGCAGGAAAATTGTTTGAAACCAGGAGGCAGAGTTGCAGTGAGCCAAGATTCCACCACTGCGCTCTCGCCTGGGTGATAGAGTGAGATTCTGTCTCAAAAAAAAAAAAGGCAAATCAAGGGAGACTATTAACAAGATTAAATAGCTAAAAATAATAATAATTTATGGTAGTTAAGAAAACAGTGCCCAATTAATTAAACTGGTTAATTCTCACTAACACACACATACAGAATGCAAACTGATGAACGCATGTACCAGGTACATGCATGAAAGGAAAGGCAGAAAGCTTTTTTTTTTTTTTTTTTTTTTTTTTTTTGTAGGGTGAGACCAAGTCTTGCTCTGTCACCCAGGCTGGAGTGCAGTGGTGCGATCTCGGCTCACTGTAGCCTCCGCCTCCCAGGTTCAAGCAATTGTCCTGCCTCAGCCTCCCAGGTAGCTGGGATGACAGGCGCCCACCACCAGGCCAGGCTAATTTTTGCATTTTTAGTAGACATAGGGTTTCACCATGTTGGCCAGGCTGGTCTCAAACTCCTGACCTCAGGTGATCCACCCGCCTCGGCCTCCCAAAGTGCTGGGATTATAGACTTGAGCCACCATGCCTGGCCCCAGCCAGCAACATATTTAACCTAAAAACCATGGGTTTGAGATTAGTGTGGCAGAAGAGTCTGACTTCCTTAAATAATATTTTCAAAAACCCCCATGTACCCTTTCTTAGGCATATACTTTAGGGCAGTAAGTCTAGTTAAAAGCAGCTCTATGAAAAGCATAACTCTGACTTCACTTTTGCTCTCCCCTGGGATTTCAGGGACCTGCCAGAGGAAACTCCATTGGTTCCCCTCCCTTTACACCTAGCTAAATGCCACTCTGTCTCTCATGGCAATAACCTAGGGGCATCTATTTTAGCATGGTTGAAGGGGCAACGCTGCCCTCAGTCCCAGGTGACAACAAGGAAACACCATGGGAGGGGGGAGGGAAGTGGAGAAGCACCAGTTCTTTAAGGTTACTAGTTCAAAGCAAAGCTGCTCTGTAATCCATGTCTAAACTCCGTGCACCTAACCTCACGCCCCGCCCCTACTGCGCCCACTGTGGAATCGGGTAGTTTATGTTGACTTTTAAAGCCTCCAGGATGGCCAGGGGCTGAGTGTATGCCCAGGATGGATGTACAGACCCTGTGCTTAAACTCTGAGGTGACTATGAAACAGCACCTTTGGGTGGTCTGAAGCTTGGCTCACCCGGAAGGACCAGCAGCAAGTAAGCGTGAGGGACCATATTCGGGACCACAGCCAGGTCTGGCTCACTCCTGCCGTCCTAGCAGTCACTAGTGTCCTCTTCCACTCTCAGAGTTTTCCCTTTGGAACTTGATCTTGGCTAGTATGGATGTACCTTTCAGTTACAAAAACATCAAGCAGGAGTTCAGCAGTGGCCTGGCACTGCCACTAGCTATTGTCCCCTCTTCAGATACAGAAGCGCTGTTATGGACACCTGTGCGTCCTTCCCTCCCAGCATCTCCCACGCACGAGGCAGCTTTTGGTGTCGCCTGTGGACACTGTCCAGGATCATTTGCACTTAACAGGTATGGCTTTCAAATATGTGCTTTATAGTGAGCCAGAGCAGGAAAGGCCTAAAGAGGACCCCCAAATTTTATTACAACTTTCACAAAATCCACTTTCAAACATACCCTAATATTAACTACAAACTTATTTATATCATGCATTACCAGCTACAAGCCAGTACACATTTTACTATTTCGTCTTACAGCAACATCACCATCTGATAAAGGTGCCACAATAAAATATAACAAAACACACATATATCCACAAACAGAACTCCAGTGCTAGCCCAGGGCTTTAAGACATAGCTCTTCAGCAGAATCTCTTGGGGTTTAGAAGCCACACCTTGTCATCCCATTACTCATAGCTCCACTGTTTACAGGACGGGTGTGGAGCAGATAAAGGAAGTTCTACAGACCCTGTCCTCACAGGCTTCCAACAGCCTTCACCTAACAACCAAAAGGAGAAGACCAAATTTAATTGTGTTTTCCCTTAGATACATTTTATTTATCCTGAATCTCACTGGTTCTTCCAATCTGATCTCTAATGTCTTTACTTTTTAGCATCAGATTCTCTCCGGATATTTGTGGAACTCCCAGAAGTTCTGACCAACTGTTATTTCGATACAGGAAGTAGACACAATCACCAAGTATGAAGTGGAATCTACCAAGAAATACCCAAGGCGGAACTCTAACGAAAGCAAAGATTGGAGGAGAACCTCTTTGGTTTAAAAAGACTAAGTTACCTTACTATCTCTCTCTCCCTCTCTCTCTCTCTCTCTCTCTCTCTCTCTCTCTCTCTCTCTCTCACACACACACACACACACACACACACCCCCGAAAAAGCCTCAGCTTCCTAACCACTAAAACACTATACAGTCTTTCTGCTGAAAACAGTAAGATAAAAACAAAAACCAGAGTCTAGGTTGGTCCTTAACTCCTCCCCAAAAGATTCAGTAAACTATGCTCACAGGACTAAGAGATACCTAAAATTCCATTCCATATACCCCAAGTCACATCAGTCCCTGCCAGGGGCTGCGGCTGTGACTCACCATCCTCCTCTTCGGTTTTAAGGACCATCTTGTTTCCTTACAGCAGGACACAAAAAGTCCGTTCTGTCCTTCAAGGAGAGCAGTAACTTACTGGGAGCCAAGTTTTCCTGTGGGGTCTGACTGGGAGGAGCCAGGGATACCTGCGAAGCTGTCCAGCCACTAGGACAGCTCAGAGCTGCTTCCTGAACAGACGGGCAATGGCTGGCTGCATGCCTGGGCCAATCAGCCTCCAGCCTCCAAAGAAGCGGCACTCCCAGTCACTGCCACCACCCAGTTCCTGAAGTCAAGCTCACGCACCTTCCGAGTGTGTTAACCGTCTGCTTCCCTGAAAGCAATCTCACAGTGGAGTCAAACTAGTTTAGTAGCCACACTTACAGTCTTTTCTCAGGCTCAACCAATGTCATAGACAGGACTTGCTGCTGTTTTTCTCTTCACTTTCCAGTACAGTTGTTCGTTGGTATCCAAGGGGGACTGGTGCCAGGAACCCCCATGGACACCAAAACGCACGGATGCTTGAACCCCTGAGTTTGTATAAAATGGTGTAGTATTTGCATATAAGCTACACACATCCACTCATATATTTTAAATCATCTCTAGATTACTTCCAATACCTAATACAATGTAAATGCTTTGGAAACAGTTGTTACG